TGGGAGGATGAGGAGAATGAAGATGACTTTGAATCCAGCCTGGGCTATATAGTGAGTTTGAGGCCTTCCTAAACTATAGACTGAGACCCTGTCTCAAAAGACAGCAACAAATGTTTTTCACAGCTCAGCCGTTAAGAGCACTTGCTCTTGCAGAGGACCTGGCTTTGGTTCACAACACCCACATGGCAGCTTACAACCATCTATAATTCCTGTTGCAGGGTAACCCAACACCCTCTTCTGACCTCCACAAGCAACAGGCACATATGTGGTACACATACATACATGTAGAAAAAAACTCATACACGTAAAATAAAATAAATAAGTCTAAAATAAAAGGTATTCATGGCTGAGCAGTGGTGTCGCACCCCTTTAATCCCAGCAGTCAGGAGGCAGAGGCAGTCAGATCTCTGTAGGTTCGAGACCAGCCTGGTCTACAAGAGCTAGTTCCAGGACAGCCTCCAAAGCCACAGAGAAACCCTGTCTCAGAACCCCGCCCCCCCCCCAAAAAAAGGGGCTCTCAAAGTCAGAAGATGGCCTGGTGTGGTGGCACATTCCTGCAATCAAACCTGAGTCCCAGGTCAGACTGCTACATAACAAGTTCTTATCTTTTTTTTTTTTTTGATTGATTGATTTTTATTTTAGTCACATTGGTGTTTTGCCTATATTTATGTCTGTATGACAGTGTCAGATTCCCTGGAACTGAAGTTACCGACAGTTGTGAGCTGCAATGTGGGTAATGGGAATTGAACCAGGTCCTCTATAAGAACAGCCAGTGTTCTTAACTGCTAAACCATCTCTCCAGCTCCAGCAAGATCTTGTCTTAAAAAACCAACCAAACAAATAAACCCAGCAGAGGTGGGAAACACTTTTTTTTAAAGATTTATTTACTATAATATACAGTATTCTATCTGCAAGTACCCCTACAGGCAAGAAGAGGACACCAGATCTCATTACAGATAGCTGTGAGCCACCCTGTGGTTGCTGGAAATTGAACTCAGGACCTCTGGAAGACCAGCTAGTGTTCTTAGCCACTGAGCCATCTCTCCAACCATGCTGGGACCACTTTTAATCCCAGCACTCAGGAGGCAGATGCATGGATCTCTATGAGTTTGAAGTCAGCCTGGTCTACAGAGCAAGTGCCAGAACAGCCAGGGCTACACAGAGAAACCCAGTCTCGAAAAACAAAAACAAAACAACCAAAAGAGCATTTCATATGTGAATGGTCATAGAGCTGCTAAATGAACCATGAAAAATTTATTCTCTCACAGTCCAGGAGTCTAGAAATCTGCAATCAGAATGGCACTGGGGTTGGTTTCCTCCAAGGACTCTGCAGGAAATCTGTTTCATGCCTCTCTCTGACCTTCAGGCCTCTAGACCACCTCCCTTGGCATATAGATATGTCATTCCTCATTACTAGGCAATCACATGGACATCTCAGAAGGACAGTAGGCATGCTGGAATGGCATTTCTTTCTTCTTTTTCTTTCTTTTTTTTTGGGGGGGGTTGAGACAGGGTTTCTCTGTGTAGCTTTGGAGCCTATCCTGGCACTCGCTCTGGAGACCAGGCTGGCCTCGAACTCACAGAGATCTGCCTGCCTCTGCCTCCCTAGTGCTGGGATTAAAGGCATGCACCACCAATGCCCCGCAGCATTTCAATTTTTAATTTTAGAATTTTTGTTTTAATGGGCTGGTGAGATGGCTCACTGAGCAAAGGGTCTTGCCACCAAGTCTGGTGACCCGAGTTTGATTCCTGGGACTCACTTGGTAGCAGGTGAGAACCAAGTCCTATAAATTGTCCTCATACCACCATGCAAGCATAATGTGCATCTGCACAATCCCATC